CGCTTTTTCGCGCTTTTTTGGGCGAAGTATGACGGGTCCCTTACATGCTACCACTGTTACTTGCGTTACCGCTTTTATTACTGTTGAGTAATGAAATGATAACCAGTACATCATTCAGAACGGAATCTCACTGACTGGTGAATCAGTAACAGTGAGTGACATGGGTAACACGGGTACTGGTAAAACTGGTAACACTAGTAAAACTGGTATCCCGAGGTAACACTAGTACCATTAACGACACGGGTGATGTATGGTCAAAGCCTAAAGCAAAACCACCAAAGTTCTTGACATACCAATTCTAGAGGGGCCTACGTCATCGGTTTCCATAGCTTGACTATCGAAGTAATCTTGAAAAGCATAAGTGACAGACTTTAAGTAAATTTCAAACAAAATTGCTCTAGCCTTGATAACTTACCACCTCCTTCAAATACAGGACGAGAAAAGTCGGCGAACGGCATACCGCCTGTTCCAAAATCCTGGGGTAGATGACCTTGTACGGGCTGAAAATATTTCAAATCATTTTGAGCACAAAGACCAGAAAATCTCGTAGAACTTACAGAGTCTACTCTTAAAGGAGGAGGAATACTTGGAGAAAATCCCGGAATAATGTCGGACAATCTTCGGTCATCAGGGAAAGGCATGAAATTAGTGGATGATGACACTTCTCCTACGCTAGCTCCCTCTCCATCGTAAAACGGAGGCTGTTGACGCGAAGATAGCAGATCATCTGCTAGCGGATGCCCAGGTCCTGGATTTCCACGCGAAGGTCCTGGGTAGAATGGTTCACCGGCTGGATATACTGGGTTCAACACTGGATAAACAGGATCATTTGCCGAGCCAATGTTCGGGTTCGACAAAGTTCGTTTCGACTTCATCGGAGGAGGTTGGAAGAAGAAAGGTTGTTGCATTGTGACTGATGACGACGAATCTGCTTCAACATAGTCTGTCGGAGGGACTGCTGGAGGTCGTTCGGACGTGCCGGCGGGTGGTTGGCGTTGCCGTTCAGATGAGTTGGCTGGTGGCTGACGTTTGTCACGACGTGGCGGTAAGTCATAATCGAGCTTACTGAAAAGTACAAATGATATTCTAACAAATCAGAGACATCAAGGACTCACTGATTGAACCGCAAGTCGAGCAGTGATGGTATTGAACCAGTACTTGCGCTTGGAG